GGAGCTTAGGAAGCTCGTATTTTTATTTCCAAATCACCCTTCCTTGGCGTGTTAGTTGGGATGAATAAAGCGCCCTGGCTTGTTTGGTTTTTTAGAAAGTGATGCATGGCATATATATATGTTAAGGGAGGAAAGAAGCGCGATTGGTAGCATAGCGTTTTCCCTAAAATTTTCATTTCAGTCATTTTGTAGCGTTTACTGAAAACTCACTGTGTGTCAGGCTGTATAAACCTCAGGGTAGGGACAAGGCCTTGAATTATGGGCATCTTTGAGGGCCATCTCCTAAACACTCAACACCACATGTATTCACATAGATACTTACATAGCTGTTCAGATGTTTGTTGGATGAGTGGGTAAGTGCAAATGGGAGCCGTGCCCCCATTGGCCAACTAGTGGACATTTAGAAAGGAAGTAGAGGAGACCCCTGACCTTGAATTTACAGTATAATCGGTGAAATTCTGCAACACAAGAATGGACAAGTGGCTGACAAAAGCATTGTTTGAACTCTCCAACACAAATGATCATAAAAAGCCAAGAAATCTGGGAGGGGATTTGGATTGAGGTGGGGCAGAAAAGGGATAAAGGAGTCTAGGAAGTTCCCGATGTGATTAATATTTGTTTTGCATAGAGAATACTTCTTCCATAATTCATATTTGCTTTCCAAATAGTCCAGAATCGTACTTGGGCAGTGAATATCTTCCCATGAGAATTTCTGAATTCTTTGGTCAAACATCAGTGACTGCCATCATTTTGAGAGTTTCATGAGATTATCGAGTCAACTTTTGGTTAACTGTGAGAGCGTAATTACTCAGGTCCGTGTTAAAACAATTTGTGATGTTAGTATACAGAATCCAGTGTGTCTAGGGGAAGATGATCATAACTAATAGCTGGTTGTGCCTTCTTGTGTTTCTGCACATTACAGACGCTGGCAAAGACTGAGAGAATATCATCTTCATTCTCCCGTTCTTTGGCAGGAATTGACTTAAGCTATGCCAGAAGATAGTGTCTATCCTTAAAGAACCTTGGTTTATCTTACTTTGTATATAATGAGTTCTCTGGGAAAGCAGTACTTTCTAATGAAATGTAATTGTCATTTTCTGGGCTGATTATTACACATACACAAGTGCTTTGAGATTGTTATGTGGGAGAGCAACCAGGCAATGAATGTTGACTTAGTGAAATGAAGTAGAGATTGTATGCTTCAAAAAGAGCTATCTATATAGCAGGTGATTCCGCGATGTTTCCCACGTATCCATTTCAGCGTCTTTTCCATCTAAAGTCAGTCCTGCAGTCTAGCCCATTTCCTGTTGTACTTTCCTTCTGTATTCCTCCTCTGGTAGGTCTTATTTTCTTCTCTGGCGTATTGTCTTGTGGGTAACGTAGTAGACTGCATTTGCTTCCTTTGATGTATTTTGATGCTCGTTGAATTATTCCTTTTCTATATATTATAAAGCTGGATTCAAGCATGAGGAAGCAAAATCATGGTAAAAGAATGCTTGTATTGCTTCCACTGACTAAACCCTTAAACCTTTTGGATTCTTTTGTCCCTTGAATTATTTCTCTTCCCTGATGTATTTGAAATGGAGAACACCATGATTACTTTTGGAGGTAGGAATGGGATGGATTGCCATGGAAAGTTAGAGAACATTTGTATTTGTTTCTGTGAAAAGGTACATCTCTTTTTAAAAACTTTGTGATAGGGACATTTATTCTTTCTTTCTTTTTTTTTTTTTAACAGTCAAGTTTTTAGAAGTTATCAAACCTTTCTGTGCAGTTCTACCAGAAATTCAGAAACCTGAAAGGAAAGTAAGTATACCATTTTGGTAATATAGAGGGCAGCTAAATGACTTGTGCTCCTGATGGATTTACCATCCCCAACCCTCTTATGGTGTAATTGGAGAAATATTACCTGCTCCTCCTCTCAAGAGGCACAAAGTGAGTAAAACTAGTATGGGCCAGTGTAAATCCAGATAGGTTATCTTGTGGTCTTAAAAATGACGGTTCTTTGAGGTTGACATTTCCAAACCAAGTGTTTCTTTGGCCTACCTGTTAGATAAGATACTCTTCTATCTCTGGTGATCCCACTGCACTATGAATGACCCAGTCTGCTGGGTCACTTTGGAGGACTACAGCTGTTTTACATAAATGAATTAAATTGTGCAAGTGTAGACCTCGCATTTCTCGATCATTCAGTACAAAGAAAAATTACAGAAATGCATTCAGAAAATAATGTGACTGTATCACATTGTTCTTCCATCACTGTACACTTTTGGAGCTAAGGTATTTAAATTCAGAAATAGTGTTAATCCCGAAGTGGCCAATTCCCAGACAGTCCTCTTCTGCTGTGCTTGTGATATCTCACAAAACTAATGGGAGAGGGATGTAGAAAGAAATAAGGAAAACTTGTGTTCATCTTACTGTTTTATTTACAAGCATATATATATATATATAT